CATCATGTGTTGAATTATATACTAAGCGGCATAAAAATTATCTTGAAAAATTAAGAATGGATCAAGCAGATTCTAGAAAAATCTTGATTAAAAGATCAACCATTTGGAATCTAGCAGTAATCGACAATATCAACTTTAAAGCCTCTACATTCTCATATGGCAATATTTTTGATGTTGTGCAACAAGCTTTACATGTAACGTTACAGATGGTATTTCAATTCACTCTTTCCACGCATTGAATTGTTTAATTAGAGACCATGAATTTATTGACTAACCACTATTTGGAGAGTTGTCAACTGATAATCTTTTATTAATGTATAAGAACATTTTGGTAGAATGTTAGAAACTTGTATCAATGAATTTGATATGGAAGATATGCACTCAGAAATCACACAACAAATACCTATGGGATCTAATATTTCTCTTTCAAATGTTGTGATATTGGAACCTGGTAAGCAACTTAATTGTGATGTTAATGTTCATGCAGCTTGTGAAATGTATCATGATGATTTATCGCTTGGTAATGATGACTGTCTATATATTACATGTGATCAAGCAATTTTTGGAAGATTAGTCTCCTATAAAGAAGCTCACAGCGACGTACAACTTATTTTAGGACAGTGGCACATATCTAAAGATATGTGTAGTGCTTTAATTACTATCTTTTCCGGATATGGGATACATAATCCTGTAGCAACCCTTGGAGTATGATACCTCAACAAGTTTGAACATGTAATAGATTACTGGGCAACATGTCGCATTTTGGAATTAATCTGGATTACGGTTGGTATTGCCATATGTCAACATGTCAAAGGTAAAGGAGAAACCATGAAAGATATTTTAAATGGTAATAATAACTTATTAAAAGTATGGTATCTCTTTTTTCCATTGGACAGGATAATTTATAGGCTATAAAATAAAAATCAGAAAAAGAAATTATAGGTTACAAATGGCAAATTTGACCACATTTGTATCTCTATTTTTTGCAGCTGGAAAATACATATGCACAAATTCCATAGCACATTTTTTGGCCCAGGTTCATGATGATCCACAGTTACAAAAGTTATTACAAACTGTATGTTCTGTAAATCTAACAAGCGAAAGTCATTATTTTGCTTTTGATAAAACACTTGAAATATATGGTGTGAAGTTTATAAAGCAAAATATTGTTGTTAATCTTATCAATCAACAAACTATGATGTCGAAGATTAAAGTGATCCAGAGTAAGAGAAATCGGATATCGATATTTGCAGAATATACTGATGACGTTGTAGTAAGCCAAAGTGCTCATGCAATTAAGTCACGAAAAGATTCACTTTGGTCTCTAGTCACAAAATTATTATCTACCTTTGATCATCTGAATCCTGCAACCTACTATCTTTTGAAAATGCATCAGAAATTAATGAAGATGGAATTAAAGATATTCTTTTTATCTATGAAAGAGACAGTTAAAATCATGTGTAAGTTACAATTTGCAGATCACTTGCCATGAAAAATTATTTTTGTTGAATATACCTTGTAAATAACATAATAAAATTATAAGCTACAAAGGACGAGACACAATACATTATAAAAATGATCTTTTTTATAGCTTAAAATTGTAATCCACTATCTTTTAAATATTTCAATTTCTACGCTACTTCTAATGATATAATGATTATATGCAACTTTGTTTCTATTTTTTGCTGGGATGCTTGAACATTGTGAATTACGCAGAAAACACTTCTTATCGTGTACTCGTATTATTTTAAATTCAGGAATTTTTAATGTTAATACCAAGCAATCGTTTCAACTCGAACATCTCCCTATCCAGTTCTTTTGCATTACCTATTTTGCTCAACGCAAAATCAATCCACCACACACAATTTTTACCAGTCAAATTCTTCTCTTTCACCATTATATTCTCCAACCTAACGTCTCCATGCATCACTCCTCTTATGTGTATCGCCCGTAAACCCTCAATAGCCAATTGCTTCTCCTCTTTTGTGAGCTTATTTCCTAGCTCCGCAAAGGATTCTCCAGCAAATGATGTAAAGATAAAAACAAAAGCTTCATGAAGAACTCCGAATTTCAAAAGCTTTGGTATGTAAATGCCTTGAATTTCCTTGAGGGGACCGTGATAGATTTTGATTTCATTAAGCATTTCTTTTAGTAAATTCTCATTTTTATACAGATCGGCTATTTTAAGAGCGCCAGTTTTCCCGCAAAGCTTTGCTGTAAAAACAGCCCCGGATCGACCATTTCCCAACATATCGCCAAAAGAAAACTGATTACGATCATAATTTTTCATATCTCTGAGTTGCATTTTCTCTTTTCCTTTTCTTGACACGTTCCGAATAATTACTTTCATAGCTTTTTTAAAAACATTCTTATGTTTCTTATGTTGTTTAGAGCCTGAGCCATCGTTATTATCTTCCTCCATATAATTATCATCATCATTGTTATCATTATCATCATCACCATTGTCATCCTTATTGTCATCCTCATTGTCTTCGCCAGTAGTAGGCGAAGAGTGTACATTTGGGCTATTTGTAGATAGATTTTCAAAATAATGCATACATTCCAAGAATGAGGCCTGAACGGACGTATGGTTCTGATTGGTGGAAACTGCAGGAGAAATGTAAAGACTGTTTGGATTTTCAGGTTGACGGCAGAAAAACCATGTTCGGACGTATGACGTAAGCAAGCCAAATTGCATGTCATTAATGACCATATATCCAAACATTTGTCGAACGATTCTAATGATTTTTTGATATTTAGTATACGAATCTGTGCCATCATCCACCGCTGTTACCGCTATGTTGTAAGCCGTATACAACTCCTCCTCCCCCAACAACGATCTAATCAGCCATTCGGGTTTCGCTTCAGATACTGCGAGTAACCGAGTAAATTCACGTCTCAAAAGCTGTTGTTTATTTTCAGCACTACAACGTATGAAATCAGGATGACCTTTTACAGTTTGCCGAAAAAATTCGCACCTACACCATTTTTCTGGTCTCGTTAGATCAAGCAATCTTTGCTCATTGAATCTTAATACAAATACCCGTAGATATAACAGGCCCACCAATATAGAAATCGTCTTAGCTAGTGAAAATACGACGGGTGAAGGGTTTTTAAGAACTATGGAAGTTGTCAATGAGCA